CGTTCGCTAGTTAGTGGTGTTTTCCCCACAATGTGGAAGGTTGCGTCCATCACACCTATTCACAAAGCTGGAAACATCCACAACGTTGAAAATTATCGCGGAATTTCGATTCTAAGCTGCCTCCCAAAAGCTCTGGAGAAGATCGTATATGAGGTCGTATATCAAGCGGTTAGGCCAATAATTACCGAACTCGTGTTTGTCAACTCGCTGATCAACTCCATTAAAAAACGACGACAAGTTGATGCGATCTACGTGGACTTCAGTGAGACGTTCGATAGGGTTTCACATGTGCTTGCAGTGGACAAAATGAGGTGTATGGGGTTACCTAATTGGGTCACGAAGTGGCTACAGTCTTACTTAACTGACCGCTCAGCTTATGTGAGCATTAATGGTGTTAATTCTCCTAGCTTCGAGATACCCTCTGGTGTTCCCCAAGGTAGCCATTTGGGGCCTTTAATTTTCATCCTGTTCGTGAACGATCTGTGTAGTCGACTGTGTTCTTCGAAACTTATGTTCGCCGATGACTTAAAGATCTTTCGTACAATTAAGTCAAGACTTGACTGCTGCGCACTCCAGAAGGATATTGATTCCCTTTTGCGCTGGTGTACATTGAACGGTTGCAGGTTAATATCACAAAATGCTGCGCAATATCTTTTAGCCGTTCACGCGAGCCCTTACGACATGACTATAGAATAGTACTCAGTAGGTTGCTCTTTGTTCCTTCAGTTAAGGATTTGGGTGTTATCATCGACTTGAAAGTCAGATTCAATGAGCACATCTCCATGATAACTGCTAAAGCATTCGCCACATTAGGTTTCTTGAAACGAAACACACACGCATTCCAGGACATCTACGCGCTGAAATCACTATACTGTGCTCTCGTCCGCAGTCTTCTAGAGTATGCTGTTGTTGTGTTGCCACCCTTTCACGCTATTCAAGCTAACAGAATCGAAGCCATTCAGCGAAACTTCGTAAGATACGCTTTACGTGTCCTGCCCTGGAACGATTCGGTAAATTTGCCGCCTTACGAAGAACGGTGCAGGCTGATTGACCTGGACACGTTGGCAGCAAGGAGGAAACTACTTCAGCGACTCTTCGTGTTTGGATTGCTTAACGGTGACGTGGATTGCAACTCTCTTGTTAGCCAAATCTACATCAATGCTCCTCAAAGAGTTCTACGTAGTTACACGCTTCTGTGGCAATCTACCCATCAGACCAACTATGGCTTCAACGAACCGTGGACTTTGTGCTGTCGTGTGTTTAATGAAACGTTTGATGTATATGATTTTAATATTAGTAAGTCTACTTACAGACATAGAATTCGACAGCCAGCCTAGAAAATATCTGCACAACATTATGTTGAAGATTTAATTAAATAAATAAATAAATAAACTCGGCGATTCTACCATGTTCGGCGCTGCGAAAATCGTATAAGAAAGGAGGTTGATAGGATGGATGCATGGACATGATGTGGCTAGTGCAGAGGCCGCAGAACCGGAAACACAGCTAGAAGTTGAACCAGTATCAGGAAAAGTAGAGGCTGAGTCGTCAATATATTTGCCAGTAATAGCTGGTTAGAAGACCCCCGACCTACATCTACACTCAGGGCCGAGACGACTATGCTGAGCGCTGGCTGGAGCAAGCGCGACTGAGGCAGATAAATCGAGGGCTTCCACAGTACTATCCATGATGCGTCTCGGTGGTGGTCCAGAAGCAGTAGAGGTAGCGTTTCGTAAGAACGGTGTGCAAGTCGGTTCGTTATCGGGCAAACATTTTCGGAAAACCCCGTTTCTCGACTCAAGCGCAGGACCGGGATGTCTGTTGGTCGCTGGCGGAAAGGGATCGAATGCAGAGAGTGGAAAAAGGGCTTCCTCAAGGCGAGCGACAAGAGTGCGTCCTGGCATCCGGCTAGTAGAGGAGACTCCGGGAAACCAACTGGCAGATGTAGTTTCTTTGGCACTGACATTCGGATCAACATCAGGCTCCGAAAGCTCACAATTACAGTAGTACTTGCCAGATGTAGCAAGCTGGGAGACCCTCAGCCCACATCTAGACTCAGGGCTAAGACGACTTCAATGAACGCAAGCATCAATATGCGCGACTGAGCTAGAGGAGCTGGGGACTACCAAAATGCTTTCTACGGTGCGTCCTGGTGCAGCATTATTTTTGGAGATCGTGGAAACATCTACGGTGTGTTCCGGATTTGCAGATGGACCATTCGAGGATAGCGAAGACGCACCGCTTAGCCTCGTGGGATTCGGGAGTACCTGGATGCGGGAAAGCTCATCACACAACGGCGAACACGGCGAACCGCCAACCTCAGGGCCGAGACGACTATGATGAACGAGGGCGGCAGTATTCAGGACTGAATTGGGGTTATTGGGAGCTTCCATCAGGCTTTCTACGATGTGTCTCGGATGCTGAGAGTATGTTAGGCCAGGATATCGTCATCGCTCCATGGGCGCAGAATTGTTTAATTTGGTGACTTTCAGTGTTCGTGAAACTTCAAATTCACGAAACCGTATACTCTCCGGCCAAAAATCACAGGAAAAAGCCGAATCACGTAGATCCTCCTTTACGCCAATCTTGAATGACACGAAGTTCAACGTGGATGGATGTCTCCTTCTTGGTACCAGCTTATCCTTACAAATATGCGAATGTCGTCTACAATGTGCAGACTTCGTTTGGGTCTTGTAGTCGAGTATTAGTATTTTAGACGAAATACGCGTATCTGTCAAGCAATTAGGGTAGTGGAATTGAATGGAAATTATAAATCCTTCTCTATTTTTTTTATTTCAATGACGTATTGATTCCAGTAGTAAATAGCTTTCATAGATGCAAACTTTCAAGAATACAGGGTAGATGTATCAGTCAAGGCTTTGCATTCCTATTATGGTATGTTTCAGTTATGCCGTATAGGAATTTCCTTAGGGCATTATTGGGACATTCCATAATATGAACGTACATCTATGACTGGTTCTTATTCCTCATTTCAAAATTCCAACATGACAGACACATTCAACACATTTCAGCAAGAGCAATGAGTAATAAATAGTATCCTTTTCTTTTAGAATTTCTTAATCGTGTGCTAAAATATTCCTACATATAGGGTAGGTGAGCCAGTAGTGGAAGTACTAAGCCAATTTATCAATTAAAAACTAAAAGGGACAGCCCTGTGGGGTAGTACGCAATGGCAACGCAGGACTACGTGGTCTTATATAATAAATCTTATTTGATAACTGCAGCAGGACTTGTGTTTTTATGTTTTGATTTTCTGTTCTATTTACTATCGTACAAGCAGAAGCAATACTTTTATGCGCGGAATCTGACGAAATATTGCCAATGCCCATGATTGTGCTGGGTAATTTTAACATGGACCTCATGAACGAAAGGAACTTGAAGTTCGTCGAATTCATGAAGAAATATTTGCACCTGGACATGGCTTCAAATTCTTCGGAGGCAACTAGTGTTGGTGGATCGTGCGTGGACTTAAATTTCGCCTTGACAGTAAAAAGTATAACTCTTACACTTTAAACCATAGCCTAATTTTGTCACTTTTCGAGTTGTAGGCTTTTAACTCAGGGCATTTATCATCGTTGCCAATCTGCACCGTACCGGAGTGTGAGCCAACAGCAAAGCCATGCTGCGTTCATCAGAATTCATCTGACAAATCAAACGGCCCTTTTCAGGGTCACAATAATTTTCAGGCTTAAGAGTTAATTTAAATTTCTATCTTCTCAATGTAATTCTTCAATGCATTCCGTGTAAATATTTACATCATTGACAAATCTCAGGTATTCATGACTTTTAGATCTTTGAAAACAACGCGAATGAAGAAAAGAGACCTACTGCGTCAGAATCTGTCATGATTACCTTAGTTTTGTCAAAAAAAAACTTAAATATTTATGCTGCATGCAGGAAAGAATAGGCAGTCCTGCAGTTTTGTGTCAACCATATGATATGATCACCATAAATACTTCCTTTTACGGCTACTCCTAAACCATCTCTTTTGAAATTGACCCTGAAAAGGACCGTTTCAGATAGGGAAAATGAACGAAGCTTGACCTCCGAATCCATACAGGGTGCGTCCCTGACGCTTCAGAGCGTACGCTTGTCGTCTTTAAAGTAGGTAACAGCGTCACGAATGACGTTTTCCAGCAACACCTTCAGCACACCTCGGCTTTCCTCGTAGATCAGACCGGAGATACGCATACGACGAGCTTTGACGATAGTCTTGGAAATACCCTGTAAGTTATCATGCAACACCTTACGATGACGCTTGGCTCCTCCTTCGCCGAGTCCTTTGCATCCCTTGCCACGTTCAGACAATGTTTATGCTGTTTAAACTGCCTTCGGGTACGGTTGACAGGAAATGGATGCGAAAAACTTTCCATTTAACTCTAGAGAGCGAGCTCAATACATATTGACCTGGTTGACGGTCTAACAAAGAATGATGCTTCTTTTGACTATGAATACCTCTTTTGTACCTACTCGAAGGCTAAATTCTTCTTGCAAGTTGTTACATTTTTGTTCTTCCATCGTTTATGATTAACGGCGCCGGTGGTGTAGTGGTAAGCGTGATTACCTCTCACCCCAGCAGGCCTGGGTTCAATCCCAGTCGGCGCCGCCGGGATGTTCTGAGGCATAACATCTCTGATCACGCCTTCCTTCGGATGGGAAGTAAAGCCGTTGGTCCCCGGTTCATGAGTTGATGGGTCGATAGGTAGGGTCCAGGTGTGGGAGCTGCCTTCCTGGCACGTCGGTAGCATTGGTGCTCAGCACGGAAAACAAGATCGACGGAAAAAACAAAACCAAAGGAAAAAAAAAAAATCGTTTATGATTGGTTGAACATAACAAAAGTATGTTATTAAATATAGGAGAAAGCGGTTGAAATTTTTATTCAACGTGCACCGTAACTAAACAGACCGCTCGTAAGTCCACCGGAAGAAAGGCTCCTCCTGAAATCGCCCAGGATTTTCAAGACCGATCTGCTCTTCCAGAGCTCGGCCATTGCAGGAATCCAGCAAGGCCATCTGGTCGGTCTGTTCGAAGATACCAACCTGTGCGGCATCCACCTCAAGCGTGTCACAATTAAGCCAAAGGACATTCAGCTGGCTCGTCGTATTCGTGGTGAACGCTCTTAATTTCTCCGTCGAAATCTAACAAAACTGGCCCTTTTCAGAGCCATTAAAAGATTTTACATTAGAGTTGGGAAGGAAATTTCTGCTGCTTTCACTGATCGCATCACAGTGAATCCTGATCTAAAAATTGCAACCAACAAGTGCCTAGAACCAAAAGCGGTGCGATGCTAGTTTTCATTGCTGTGACGACGACTGTAAGGGACTTAGAAGCAGAAGAATGAAAGCCAATTCTCTATCGATTTCCTCTTTTGTGATCACCATGGCTTCACTTACCTATTTCGCACTATTTCTGCTATTCTCTTCAATCATCCACAACAACAATGGTATCAATGAATGTTGGCCGTCCAGTTAACGTTATCCGACCTTCTTAGTTCCTCCTCGGTGAATGATCAGAACTTGCACAGTGCGGTTATTACTAGAGACCGAGAATTCCTCAACATCTCCACGGTTGTCTCGGGAAGGATAGTTGTGTAAGTGAGGTAGATTATTTTTAGATCAGGATTCATGTGATAAGTGATGCGACCGGTTAAGCAGAATTTGTTTTTATTTAAATTTAGTGCGGATAGGATAAGGCAAAGTGAAAAATTGCAAGTATGGATTGAACCCCAACCTGTGTTGGGAAAGCAGCATAAGCATGTGCGTAATTGGTCGATTTATTAGTTAATTCGACGCTTTTGGTCAATGCTGGACATTGTTACATATTCGAGATTATGCCGACGAAATGCGCCAACAATCATCGAAATTACCCTATACTTCGAGATCAATAAAAACTAGATCACCAACCATCAACTCTTCTTGTCGCACTATGTCACTAAAGCAAAAAGCATTGAATGCGCTCTCGCGCGATCGCACCAACAATAGTGTGAACCAAGAATAGTGTGAACGAACAATTGGTGGAAATTGTGTCGATAGCAGGCATGTTATAAGCCTCGAGCATTAAAATTTTAAGGATTCCAGAAAGGTAGTGTTGTGAGATTGGTGGGTTTGCTGTATTTTCCTGGTGATCGACACATGTTTGAAGTTTGCACATACCAGAAGAAATGCGCAATCTCCCGACCCAAGCACCCAGACAATAGACCTGCAATTTGGTCTTTCATTGCAGGCACGTTCCAGACCAACGAACAAGAGGTCAAATTCGTCAAAGTGCGACGACTCACTTCTTCAACTACACTTCTACTTCAGACTCTACAACGCAGAATACACGAAGGCCTTCGACAGGTAAAGACAAAAATTATCACCAGCAAATGTGACGAATGAAAGGTTAACGTGAGTGCCACCTCTTCAGAGGGCCTTTATTTACAGTCCAAAATCCGCTGGTTCATCGACGTGACGCCAACGCACCCGACCGTTTGAAATAGGCCGAGCAATTCTACCTTTCCCACTGTTTCCCAGCCGCGTTTGGCAGATCGGTTGTCCCTGACCCTCGCTAGATCGAGCGACAAGGCCTTGAAAGTGCCCTTCGAAGGCTGTACAAAGGCTGTGACGTGTAAGTTGAGAGAGAAAGAGAGAGCGGCAATACGGTAGGACGGATTCTAGCCGTGCGACAAACGTCGCGTAACAGTGCGACGTCGGTTGTTCGAGCTACAAGTCGGTGAGACTCATTGCCAACATTGCGACAAACCTTGTGGCGCGATAGGTTCCAGTGCATCGAAGCTACAGCAACGCCGCACACTGTAGTGCAACCAAGGTCGATAACCTTCGAAGTTGTTTGACAAACAGCAACACATCGCTCTACATTGGCATGCAGGTGAAGGTGTGACGGGGCCCCCAACGCTAAATGCAACGAAGAAGAAGTCCTGGGAGAAGAGATTAATGTATGTATGTTAGGCGTAGTAGAGGTAGGATGAGCATTAGACTATTGAGCCACAAATACCACGTTACATTACCGTGCCATAATTGAATCTTTCCTTAATGAAATTGAATTCACTTTGAATTTAGTCCATCGGTTGCTAGTGCACCTTTCAATTTGTGCGTGGCTAGTCGGCCTGAGTAAAAATTTGAGCGAGAGCAGTGTGGTACTACACTTTGAACCACTATTCTCTTCCGCAATATCGTTGCCTATAATTAGCACGGTAAATTGACTATGTTTGCCGATATCTTAAAGACATTAGGTCAAGGTCCGACAATTCTCCAGTCTTAATCGGAAATTGTCACAACATTTACCACTTTTTCAATAGTGAATTAGAAAATCAACAGTCAGAAGCATTGCAATTGATGCGTAGAAATGTTGCTGATCGATTGGTGATAAAAAATTTGAAATAGGACTAGCGGCAAATGAGTTATTAACGTTTAAAATCTTTCACAATTTTGTTACATGTTCCATTTTCGGTTTTCACAAAGTGTACCCCCATATAGAAATAACAGACGTAGTCCTATGTCAAAGTTAATATACGATTTACACCCAATTGTTATACGTCAATCTATAGCTTTCAACCTCTATTTTGATAGAAATTTTTTACATTGTAATAAAATTGCATAAAATTTTAGAGAGATCGTCCTCCATTAAAAGGAACACTGTTCCAGTAGTTGTGGTAGTTGCTAACTTTGGTTGCTATAATAGTGGAATGCGTTGGTTTCTTATGGGTTCCACTTTTATAGGAACACTACTGCAACTATAGGTGCAAAGGAGTGAAAATCTTAAGGAAAATTAATTATTTTTCGTCACTTTTGGGCATATTTTAAGTTTGAAATATGCAAATGTGCTTTATTTTAGGAGAGCTACCGATGAAAAGTTATCTTATCCGGATCCTCCTCACTATTCCGGCACAACTTCCATACCGCAACTATAGGTACACCACTATTACTGGAACACCTACCCTGGATAAATATGTACGCCTGACAACCCAAAAGTGTCCAAACCGGACAAGTTCTCACCAGAAGAATCGCAGTGATGCAGGATAATCCACGTGCACTGGGCAAGTCAAACCCGATTCGTACTCGGGAGAACAATTTTCGCTGCATGAAATATTAAATTCATTTCCATTTCCGCAGCAACTCCGTGATTCTTTTTGAAGGAGAGCACTTTCCGGTTTTTCCACTTTTCAGTCTGGAGAGGCACCAAATGGTGTATAAAGGGGCTGATCTTCCTCACCGGTGAGGGTTTCAAGTGTGAGGGGGATTTGTAGTAAATCGAATTTGTGTTTAAATTTTCGTTTGCCAGAACCGGAAATCAAGAGGGTAAATGTTGACAGATACAAGTGCAGCTATCTCTCCGGCTTTTCAGCGATGATAGCGAATGATACTATCCCGATAGCGGAGATGTACAAATGTAACATCAGCAAGTGCTCTATTGGGCAAAGAAAAACAAACAGGTCTCATAATGTCGCGAAAATCTAAAATCATTGAAGCTGATTTAAAATGCAACTATTCTCAACCTACAACTAAACTATCACACAAGTCGGGTATCGTAAGCCGGAGAAAATCTGCGTCAGCCAGCACGGGAACACTTGACCAGAAAAACAAACTGCTTCTGAAACGGAAAGCGAATTTCTCGCTCGAATAATTTATTTCCTGATTAAATAATTCATATTTGATTTAGCCACTTTGATTTATTGCAATTTGGTTCGCTCACCGCCAGCAACAACGACAACAGCAAATACCAATGCAGCTTGTAGGATCTATTTTTTTTTTTGGTACGCTTTTACCATGCTCGGATGGAGGAAAAACCAGCAGTTGCTCGGATTTTCCGCTCCCCAAAATCTCGTCACAGGCATGTCTGTTCGGACGCACACGCAGCAATTCGTAGATCGTAGGCTTGAGAAAAAAAATTGCAACCGTTTGCAATTTCGTTTTGCTCCCATTGCTCGAACACTGCTTTTCGCTTGGATTGGAGTTTTTTTTTTCGAACGTTGCTTCATTTGATTGAATTCATTTGTTTTATTTTATTTTCTAACGATTTCACTTCCTGGCTGCGTTCGTTTATATTTTACTTTATGATTTTGGGGGTAAGAAAACGGATCAAAATACAGGCGTCAACCATGCTGCTGAGTGCCTTGGAGGTAATAAAGTTGACAATGTTTACTGCCATTGCTTGGAAATACAATTTGTGAAACGCCATGAGAAGGCGAGGAGTGATGTTTAAAGATATTCAGAGCATCATAATGTGCTAAATAAAGGCAATGAGATGCAATGAGTCTTGATGAGCCAAGCTCCTGTATAATTTAACACTGTTCCAAACAAAAAAAGCTTTTGTACAACTCGGTGCTGGTAAATTAATGATTTTGTAACCAATCTATTCCAAATGTTAGATATATATAGTGGAACAACACTCGTTAAAACATTTATTATCCCAGCTATTTGAACTAACCCCGCGAAAAGGGGGGCTTGGCCAGTAGAGGGTTTAAAAGGGTTTTGCTCAAAACATTCGCCTCCAGATTTGTAGTAATTTTCAAAAGTCATATGTTTTTCTGGTCGTACATTTTGATAAACTCTGGGGCCTGCAACAAAGTTTCATAATCACGTCGCAAATAAATTGGATCTTAACAATTAAAAAGTGCTTAGTCGCAAAACTTTCAACCTAAGCTGCTCCGGGTGCGTCTTTGCTCACATCGGCACCGAGAAATAACTCAATTTATTTTTCGATTCGAAGCAAAACGAAGAAAATTACTTTTCATTAATCGCATTCGCTACGCATTCAACTCACAAACGAATAAACTACATAATCACAAATTCAAACGGATAAACAAACAATATAAGACGGCAAAAAAAAAATCTCATCCACGATAAAAAGCACTCTGACAAAAGATTGACTGTGCTCGAGAAAGGCACCTCACTGTGTATTTCGACCAGAATCTCATTTCTGCAGATGCTTACGAAGTAAAAATTTCCTCCCTCCCACCTTACTGTAGCACAGAAAAAGAAGCTCCCAGTAGACGACATGCTAAAAAAGAAATTGCTACTTTTTCGTCATCACCGTCATCGTCGTCTTCATCGGTCAAATTCTCTTTCATTATACTACGAGATTGAGACACGCTTCGGCTACCAGAAAGTGATCAAATGATCTC